AATGTTGTCTCTCCAGAAAGGCCTTCTCCGATCATCCTATCTAAACTAGGTCCCCTCTCCCCACCCAGGTCACACTCCATCACATCAAACCAATTTATTTTCTCAATATCAGTTGTTAGCACCTATTTATACTGAGTAGTTCATGTGAGTTAGAAACTGTGACAAAAATAAATTAAAAATCAGGGAAACACGTTAATTATTTAATTAAGAATGCAGTTTGTTTGGTGGACAGAATCTTTTAAAGGCAACCAGAGCTTGGGAGAAACAAGGAGCCAAACCGGGGGCCATCTCTAGGGGTCCTTCCAGCTCTGACCTTCGAATCTTTCCATAAATCCCGTTTTACACTTGTCCCTCCCCAGCTAGAAAAATTTCACCTCTCTCTCGAATACAGTTCACAATTCTCACCCCGGCATTCAAGGCCCTTCTCATCTGGCCCCAATCCACTTCCCCAAGGTATCTCCCTCCACCCCTTCACAGAATGCTCTCTGCACTGTTCCCTGAACATTGTAGTCCCACCTCCATGCCTTTGCTCATGCTCTTCCCTTCGCCAGTGACGCCCTCCCTATTTATTTGGATGAACAACTGTTAGGTAATTTGTTCAATCAATGAACATTTATGAGCACCAACTGCATGCCCACAATGTGATAGACTGGTAAACCAAGTCCTGGGTACAAAACAATGATGGGTAAAAAGAAGTCCTGGTTCTTTTTTCCCCTCCTATCTAAGTACATTAGGAGGTACTACCAGAAGAATACAAATGAGTCTAATTCAAGTATTCAGGGCGTAATATCCTAAGAAAGGAATACGCTGTGGAATATGTCCTAAAAAGGAGAATGCGATGCAAATTTGGGGGAGGGAGAAAAAGTGGCTATTCCTGAACATGGTACATATTTCCATTTCCTTAGGGCATCTTTAATATTAGTCTTTCAATAATGCTCTGTAATCTTCTCCTTCTAAGTCTTGCTTGTTTCTTCCTAGGTATGCAATCGTCTTTTATTCTATTGCAAATGTTTACATTTTCTATGTGTTCTTGGTATGTAAAAATGCAAATTCATTTTTGTATTCTGATTTTTGTATGCAGCTACCTTCCAAACACTCTTATTTTTCCAATAATTCGACTACATATTCTTTCAAGTTTCTATTTAGACAATCAGATCTGTAAATAATAGTGGTTTTACTCTTCCTTTTTAATCATTATACCTTTAACTTATTTTTCTAGTCTCACTGTGCAGGCCTGCACGTTTTATCTTACTGCTGATTTTATTTATTTATTTATTTTTGTGAGGAGATCAGCCCTGTGCTAACATCTGCCAATCCTCCTCTTTTTTTGCTGAGGAAGACTGGCCCTGGGCTAACATCCGTGCCCATCTTCCTACACTTTATATGGGATGCCTCCACAGCATGGCTTGCCAAGTAGTGCGTCCGTGCGCACCCGGGATCCAAACCGGCAAACCCCGGGCCGCTGCAGCAGAGCACGCGCACTTAACCGCTTGCGCCACCAGGCCGGCCCCTTACTGCTGATTTTAAAGAGGTGTTTCTAACATTCTTTCTTTATGAATGATGTTTGCACAATATTAACAAAGAGATCAGACATCACCAATACCACCAACAATGGGACAAACCGACATCACGTGTCGCACGATGTAACAGACTGAGGATGCAACATCACTGTGTAATCTTCTTGCCAAAATGCATAACATGATCTAATCACGAGGAGACAACTGGACAAATCCAAATTTAGGAACGTCGACAAAACAGCTGGCCTTTACTGCTTAAAAATGTCAGTATCATGAAATAAAGAAGACTAAGAGATACGACAACCAAACATGACTCACAATCCTGCGATGGATTCTGGACCAGAAACAAAATTTCTATACACACACATATGGAGAGAAAAAGATAGATAAAAAGTAAATTTGGCAGAATGTTAACAACCGGTGAATCTAGGTGAAGGAAAATCAGTTCATTCAACTAGTTTTGCAACTTTTCTGTAGGATTGAGATCCTTCCAAAATAAAAAATGTTTTAAATTCTGTTTCCTATATGTTAGTGACATTTCCTTGTCCTAATTGGCTAAGAATTTTTATCATGAAAGGGTATGGCGCTTTATCAAATACTCTTTCTGCATTTGTGGGGATGACCATATGGTTTTTCTCCTTTCTTCTGTTAATATAATGATCTCCATTGATAGATTTACTAATATTAAACCATCCTTAGTTTCTGGAATAAATCCAACATGATCAGACGTATCTTTTTTTAATTCACTGCTGGATTCGGTTTGCTAGTAATTTTGCATACACCTTCTAGAGGGAGACTGGCCCGTGATTTTTCATTCTTGTTCTGTCCTTGTCGGGTCTTGGAATCAAGGTTACCCTGGCCTCACAGAATGAGGGGAGCGGTCTCTCTTTTCCTGTCCTCTGGAAGTGTTTGCAAAAGACTGGAATAATCAGTTCGTTGCAAGTTATGTGGAAATTGCCTGTAAACCACATGGACACAGTGTCATCCTTATGTGTGTGTTTGTGAAAGAGAACATACAAAAAAGTGCATAAAATGTAAATGTTCAGCTTAAGGAATTGTTGGAAAATAAATTACCCATATAACTGCCACCCTCCCAGGTTAAGACATGAACTATTAGTAGTACAAAGGAGACCCCCCATGGACACTTTCCAATCAAACTCTCTCTCTCCTTTGGGGGTAACCATTATCCTGGTTTTCTTGATAGTCCCCTACTTGCTTTTCTTTAAAATTTTTCTGCTTATGTATCCCTTCAAGTATAGTTTAATTTAGTCTATTTTTAACTTTAGGTAAATAGAATGAGACAGTTTGTAATTTGTCTGGTTTCTTTCCTTCAATATTGTCTTTAAGATTCATCCATGTTGTGGTATGCATACATACCTTGTTCCTTTTCACGACTGTGTATATTCCATAGTATGGATATACCATAATGTATTTGTTCAGTTCTTGGACATCTGAGTTTCTGCAGTTCTGTGATGAAAGGACAACACTCCCATGCACATCTGGTATTTGTGTTCTGGTGCACAGAAGCACACGTTTCTGCACGGTGTACACCCAGGAGCAGAATCTCTGGTCTTAGGGTGTGTGTATTTTCCTCTTTAATAGAAACTGTTACATTTTTTCCCAAAGCATGTGTGTCCCCAGTTTATCCAGCTTATCACGCCCCTAGAAGTGTCTGGGAGTTTATGTTGCTCTATATCCTCGCCATCACTTACTATTGCTGGATGTTTACATTTTTGCCAATCTGGTGGTTGTAGTGGTGTCCCGTTGTGGTTTACGAATGAGGTTGGGCACTTTTCCAAATGTTTAGCAACTATTTGGATTTTTTCTGCTATGGGATACCTGTTCAGGTTGTTTTTTTTTTTCCTAGTCCATTTTATACATTGAGGAAATGAACTCTTCGTCACGTTTATTGTGCAAACATCCTTTCTCACTCTAAGGTTCCCCTTTTCTTTCTGCTGTTTTCTTTAAGAGATTATTACTCAGTTTTTAAAATAGCTACAGACTATTCAGGCTTTCTATTTCTACTTGAATCTGTACTTACATATTTTGTAGGAATGTGTCCACATGGTCAACATTTTCAAATACGCTGTCATGACGTTGCTCCTGTTAGTATCCTATTATACTTTGAATCTCTGCTGCTGTGTTCCCTCTTTTGTTCCTGATGTTATTTGCACCTTCTCTCTTTTATTCTCCACCATCTCTCCAGAGGTTAGTCTATCAGTCTTTTCTAGAAGCCCACTTTTGGCTCTTCTGACCCTCTCTAATCTACCTTTGTATTCTCTTCCACTGAATTCTGCTCTTTACTATCTCCTTCCTCAAACTTTCTTTGGGTTTACTCTGCTGTTCCTTTTCTAACTTTTAGGTTGAACGGTTAGGTGTTAATTTCCCACCTTTCTTCTTTTCTAACATAAGCAGCAGTGCTATACATTTCCCCTGCAACAGCACTTTCCCTGCATCCCATAAGTTTTGTGATGTATTTCATTATCATTCAGTTCCAAGTATTTTTAAGTTTCCATTTTGATTTCTTCTTTGATCTAGAAGTTATTTATAAATGTTTTTAAATTTCCAAATGAATGGGAATTTAAAATTTATTTTTTGTTACTGATTTCTAACTCAATTTCATTGGAATCAGAAAACCTAGTCTATGAGATTCAAATTTGCATTTATGATTTTAACTTGTAAAGTCTTTTCAGGGTCTAAGTTTGCTATTTGTTGTTTCAGCTGACTCTGACTCGTGGTGGCTTAGATGCTTTGTGGTCTCTGATTATGAACTTCCCTGATCTTTTCTGTGGGAATCCTGTCCACACTGGGAATGTTTTCCTCTGGAGACACTTCAGGTCTGCCTCTGCTGTGACCCAGAGGCAACCTGGGACAGCCACCCTGGGGTCCCTTTAATCCCCTAGGAGGTTCTGCCTTAAGGCAGAGACTCAGGCTCCTGAAAAGATCTGCTCTTAGGTTAATCCATGTGAAGCTGCCATTGTGGGGGGCAGGTCAAAAACCATTCAATATCAGCAAACGCGTACGGTCTCCCCACACCGTCCACGTGTGCCTGCAGGACAGGCCAGTTCCTCCTGTTCACCTACTGCTGACCTCTCTGACTTAGATTTTGGCTCAAGGTTTGTTTCCTTTTTGGGTGAGAGGAGCTGGCTTTGGAGATTTCCCCAGTGTCTTGTGAGCTCAGCAATGCATTAGAAATTATATTTTATTCTGGAGTAAACTGTTTTGCAGTGGGGTGGAGGGGAGGTCCTAGAAATAGCTAGGCAATAGTTAGAAGGTGAAATCCTAGGCAGGATATATTTTTCCCAATGAGGAAACCAAGGCTCACAGAGGTGAAATGACACTCAAGGTCACGTGGCTGGTCACAGGCAGGGCTAGGACTTGAGCCTACGTACAAGCCCAGAAACCTTGCTCTTTCTGCTTTCCCTCTGTCCTGTGCGGCCTCCGGAGGGCTGTCTGTGCCTGGGGCTTCCCAGGCATCCTTACCTGGTGCAGGGGGATGACGAGGAAGGCCCCCCCACCAGCACACTCCGTCACGACCGCGATGAACTGGGGGTTCACGGCGCAGAAGTGGTTGTCATGGACGCTGCGGGTGATGGGCACCGAGTCGTAGCAGTTCTCCTTGCTGGCGGGTTTGCCAAAGACGTGGCGGAACTTGGAGCTCCGGATCTGGGGGTGCCATGACATCTGCAGGGACAGGGGACAGACAGGGCGTGAGGCTCGCTGCCCTGACCACGGGACACAGGGGCCCTCACCTCGAGAACAGATAAGAGGCGTGACCAGCACAGTGGTCGGCTCTACGTGGACGGTGACACGCCACGAAGGGCAACCAAAGGAACAGGCTGTAATTGTGGCTGCGTCTACGGGCCCGGTGAGATGGTGTGTAACCACTGCTGACCTGTTTGCCTTCCACCCCTGCAAGTACAGACACAAAAAGGCAGCAAATCCACGGAGAGAACTCCCACATTCCCTCCCTGTCCACCATCTCACCAGACGGCCCAGCCTCCCCGCCCCGCTCGGCCCAGCTAAGCGGGCGACACTGTGTCCCCTGGAGCCAGCCGGCCTGGGCTCCAGCTCTGCCTCTTGCCAACTGGGTGAACAAGTGACTTAACTTCTGAAGCCTCAGTTTTCTTTTCTGTAAAATGGGGATGATGAAAGTATCTGTCTCATAGACTTGTCAGGAGGATTAAATTAGATGATACATTAAGACCCCTTGGTCAACAGTAATAACTAATACCACTCTTATCATCCAGGCATCTCGAGCTTCCCTTGCTTCTCATCCAGCCTTGTATTTGTTCACTCAATATTTACTGAGCACCACCGTGGGACTAGGCCCTGCACCAGGCACTGGGCGTCTGGAGCGACTAAGCCTGAGCCCAAACTTACAGGAGCAGAGAGTCCTGGGAGTGAGGCCATGGGGGAGTCTGGGCCACTGGGACCCAGTGTACTATAGGTAATAATGGAAGTTCGTACATGGCAGTCAGGGAGGGCTTCCCAGAGGCAGTGACATGCAAGCTGTGATTTGAAGGATGAGTAGGAGTGGGCCATTTAGGCAGGACAAGGGAGAGCTGAGGGAAGGCATCTTAGGCAGATGGAACAGTGTGAGCAAAGGCCCTGAGACAGAAGCAAATACGGAATGTTTGGGGAACTATATATTGTTTAGTAAGATTACAGAGAGATGTTAAAAAGAAAAAAATATATACCTACATGTATAAACATGTAAATTGGGTGATGCTTGTGAAGAGAATACAAGCTGGCGGGGTGAGCAGGGCTCTGTGACGAGGCTCTAGGCCTTGTCAGCAGCCCAACGCACAATACCAGGGGATCCCACGTGGCCTCCTCTCGGCCCCCTGCTGCTCAAGTCAAACCCCGCCCCCAGTCTCTCTGACCCACTGCTCTCCCATCCACGCTCCCCACATGGGCCAGAGGGGTCCTTCTGGACACCAGGCCTGGCTGCAGTCCTCACCACCTCAGATTGCCCTTCGATGCTCCCCACTCACTGCTGGCCTGAAAACCAAGGCCAAGCTCAGGCCGGCATCCCGGCCCTGCCGGCTGCGCTCCCCACCATACTCCAAGAGTCACTTTCTCTTGCTTATTTGCTAACATTGCCTTACATGTAAAGAACAGCACCCAGCTTCCCTTACACCTGCTCTTGCATCTCGAGTCCTCTGGGCCTCTGCCCTTGCCCTTCCCTCTGCTTGTCTTGCCCTTCCTATCCTCCTCTCGCCTGTACTCATCTCCACAAGTCCAAATACTCCCCTCCCCTAGCCCTACATCCCCCCCCGCTTCCTTGACACCCCAAGTAGCAGGGATCTTGCTCTCCTCTGCCTCCTCTCTGCCCTCAGGTCCCTGACACCACCCTGATTCGGAGTTTGTGTCTGTTCTCATCTTCTCTACCAGCCTGCAGGTTCCTCAAAGAAAGGCCTGGGGCTCTGCTCCTTGAACGCCCACCCCACGCCCCAGGAACTTCCCAGGGGAAAGCATGTTTGCTGGGCACCCACATGGTCAGGACAAAGAAGGCGCCTGCCCAGCCTGGGCGGCCAGCCCCTCAGCTCTCCTCTGTGCTCAGTTCAAAGGCACAAGGTTAGGGGGCTGGCCCAGTGGCACAAGTGGTTAAGTGCACGCGCTCTGCTTCGGTGGCCTGGGGTTCGCCGGTTCGGATCCCGGGCGTGCACCAATGCACTGCTTGTCAAGCCATGCTGTGGCGGCGTCCCATATAAAGTAGAGGAAGATGGGCACGGATGTTAGCCCAGGGCCAGTCTTCCTCAGCAAAAAGAGGAGGATTGGCAGATGTTAGCACAGAGCTGATCTTCCTCACCAAAAAAAAAAAAAAAAAAAAACCAAAAAAAAAAAAAAAAAAAAAACCCAAAAAACAAAAAACCAAGGCACAAGGTTAGACTATTGACCTCAGGAGGTGACAGTGATCAGCCGTTTACACAGCATCAGGGAGCCCATCGGCCTCACAGGGGCGGGTCGTCCTGTGAAGCTCAGATATTTCCACTCTCCTTTTGGGAGCTTTGCCCAGAACCCTGGCTGCATTTGCCAGAGCTCCAGGAAGCAGCACAGAATGCAGGGACTGACTGACTAATTCACGTCCATCTGATTCCAGAAAGGATGTAAGAAGCCTTACAGAAATAGAGAACCCAAGATAGAAGGAAATGGAAAAGGCATGGCGAGGAAATGGGGACAGAAGGAAATGCAGCAACAAAAAGAGATTCCTAAAAGGTGGGGGGAGTTAAGCTACGGAATGTGTGCTTCCAGGTCCTCCACACAGCGACGGTGGGCCTTGGATCTGGGTCCAAGCTTCCCTGTGGTCAATTCAACAAGGGAAACATAACCAGAAAGGGATTTAGTCAGTGTCTTGTAGGATGAAGGCCACCGCTTGCTAAGCAGCAGCACAGCTTTTCTCTGCACTGAGTCCTGAGAGAAATGGGTCCTAAAAGTCATCTTAGAAAAGAACAGCAAGGACAATGACCTCCCTAGGGTCCTGGCCATTAGGTGGCAGCTGAGGAGCTGCCTTGGCCTTGGGCTGAGGACGGGAAAGTGGGGAGCAAGTCAGCAGGCTCAGCTCTAGGTCCCCCAACCCTGCCTCACCTTGGGCAGCAGTGTGGGGAAGGGGGACCTGTCTGTGGCCGATGGTGATGCTCATCAGACATTCCATTGCTCTTCCACGACCAGCCTCCGTGGAGTCAGGCAGCCACAGTGTAGGATCTAACCAGAAGATCAGGGGCGGGAGTGACGTGTGCCACTTCCAGGCTGTGGCCTGGACTGTGACCCTCTAGGACTCTCGTCCTTGGCTGAAGGGATGTGAAGGCCACGTGTTCCAGATGGTGCAGCTTCCATCATCCTGGGTCCCCATGGGACTGTGCGGAACAGAGCACCTCCCCCCACTGACTCATGTTGGACAAATACCGTGACAGAGAAGTAAACTTGGAGAGTGAACCTCTGACATGGTCAGGTTATTTGTTACAGAGCACAGCCTACCCGTCCTGACGAATACACCGCCCCGTGCAGAACTAGCCAGTGGTAGCTGGCAGATGGCCGCCTGTGCTGGGTGTGGCCAGAGCACAGGAGGCCTGCAGGGCAGAGAGGGGCGAAGAGGCAGGACCCAGATCACCCCAGAGCCGGGGAACAGAGCTCGGCTCTGAGGGCACGGGAGCTGCCGCAGGGACTAAACCAGGGCGGCGGGAGGACCAGACTCCACCTCTAGGAGGACTCCTCTGACTGCCGAGGAAGAAAGGGGGGACCGGGTGAGCATCTGATGGTCGCCTGGGCTGAAGGAGGGCAGAGAGGGTGGAGAGGAGGGGACACGTGAGTGAAAAACCAAAGAGGTGGGACCAACCAGCCTCGGCGCCCATGAAATCAACACGACCTGACCCTCATCAACAGTCCTGGCCCCTCGGGCCACCCCCCCAGCACTTTCCCCTCACAGCCTAGGGCTTGGCCCCTCTCCTGAGGGATGGCTCTCCGCCAGGAGGAGTCAGGGGGCCTCTAGAGGCCTGGACCACCACTCTCCTCGAGCTCACAGTCACCTCCATGGCACTAACAACTCAGTTTCTGGGCGCCTGCTACGTGCCAGGCACCGTTCCAGTGCTCCCCCGTGTGAACTTGACAGGCAGGTGCTGCCCTGCTCCCATCACAGATGCAGGTTGAGGCAGAGAAGCGAAGAAACCTCCTGAGGTCACACAGCTGGTGTGTGGCGGAGCCAGGAGCTGAACAGCTCTGTCTCCGGAGCCTCCAGCTCCAGGTTCCTGCAGATAATGCCCATGATGACGAAAGCTCTTTCACATCCATCACACCCTGGATCCTGCCTTGGCCCTGAGGGGGAGGTATCATGACCATCAACACCCCAACTTTACAGAAGAGGAAAACGAGGTGCAGGAAGCTAAGCGGGTGCCCTCCAGAAAGGGGGCTGCTGGCCTCCACTGAGGCAGCTGGCTAGCTGAGGAGCAGCGTGAACATAATGAGCTTCTGCCCCCCTGCCCCAAACTCCTCTCCGCACCCCTCCCCGCCCCAGCACCTTATCTCCACTGCCAAGGTCCTTCCAGACCTGTTGCCATGCAGGGAAACTTACAGAAGTGGGGGATGGGATGGCACCAAGCCAGGTGGGACGTCTCTCCCTTTGCCCCCAGGTATGGGAGTGTGCGTGCACATATGCGGGTGAAGTTTGTGCAAATCTGTGTGCACTGTGTGTGCAAGTCTGTGCATAAGCACCGCATTCATCAGGGTGTCCATATGTGTCCAGGTACTCCTGCGGTGTGCACACAGGTGTACATCTGTTTGGTGTTTCACTGCATCTGTGCATGTACGTGCACATGCGTGCATGTGTGTATCAGTGCGTGCACGGGTTTAAGGACTTGGCAGTTCAGAGAACGCTTGTATTTTCCCCACAAGCAGGCGCTTGCCTGGAAATGCAGACCAGAGCGGGCCCTCTGCACTGCGAGGCCCTCGCCCATGGGATGGGCCAGAACGGCTGATCCTGGCCAGGTTTACTTCATGCCACTTGTCCTCTCCTGCCCGGTCCCATCCGGCTGGGCCCACATCAAAGCCATAGCAGACCTTCTCAGGCGTGGCGGGCCAGCCTGCTGGGGCACAAAGCAGGGGGTGGCATCGATTCTGCTGCTATCTCACGGATGCTTAGCGGGCCTGATGCCACGGGATTAGGCTCTGAGGGCTGTGAATTCCCTGCCCCCGAAAAGGAGTTAGTCATCTCTGGGTTTAACATCCTACTGAGTTTAT